CAGTCTTTAAAGGGATTAATAACATCAAATTTATGAATTCTAACCTTCAGATGTGCTTTTGACTTTGCTAAATTTCATTATCACTCCCCACGCATCCTGGTTTTCAATGCTGAATGATTGTGGCTCTCCATCATCATTTGTGCAATCGAGACAAACAGCTCTGTTTGGCAGCAAAAAGGGTAAGCAGTACTTCGGAGAGAACACGATTTCACGTATATCTTTCTTCAGACTCTTATATTGCAAAATCAGGTTATAGTAATTTTTTAAGCTTTCTTCTTCTTCAATCACCATAGAGTCTCTCTCTTCTTCCAGTGATTTTATTTGCTTCTGCATAGGCCAGAGCAAAATCACGTCATTTACATAAAGTGTCAATAATATACTCAAAATATCTAACATTTACTCATTTTGCAACTGCACCTGAAGATCAGGTATAGCACGGTCAGCTTGAAACTGAAAGAAAGAGTTGCGGAGAAGATTCTCAGGATCACCTTCTTCACATCGCAACTGATTTAGAAGCATGTTATAGCTCAAATGGAAGGCACTGATGAAAAAAAAAGTATACAATACAGTCTAGGTCATTTATTTTGCCAAGAAGTCTAAAAGAACAAATATCAATATTAATCAGGTTTATAATTTTCTACCCAGTAGATTTAACATATACACCCAATACTTAACAATGTACCTGTTCAAAGAATCAGCACTTCCTTTGAGCATTGATTTAGCAACAGCGGGTTCCATCTTCTCATCAACCATGAGGATGCATATACCTCGTTTGTCAATACCTCGACGTCCAGCACGACCACTCATCTGAATGTACTCTCCACTAGATAGCCACCGAAACTTGTCTCCATCAAATTTGCGTACATTTGTAAACACAACCGTCTTTGCCGGCATGTTCAATCCAATACTAAATGTCTCTGTTGCAAACAAACACTAAAAGAAGATACTTCAAAATTAAATGGCAATGAAAACGTGAGAAAGACTAAAAAAACAATCCTAAAGGGGAAAACTTATAACGAAGTGATGCATGGCAAGAGTGTAAAAGAAAACATCATAATATTACATACCAAACAGATCTAGAAGGTGCACGAGTTAAAAAAATCTTAATGTAGCTCCACGCTTTTACCTACCTTAATCAGACCTTCTTGAAATAATATCTCAATTACTTCTTTCAAAATTGGAAGGAGACCCGAATGATGAACGCCTATACCACGTTTTAAGATGGGTAAAATATTTGACACCTGCAGCATATGAAGCCAGGAACCACATAAATTTTCCAGCATAAAAAATATATACAACAAAACAGGGACCAAAAGACCTTTTATCGAACATCAGGAGTAAGATGTTAGTGACAAGTACAATATATAGAGGACGGCTACAAGGCAGCAAGTATGTAAAAAAGATTTGACATAAAAATGGTGATGAGGTTAGTGGGAAATCCGTTACTAGTATGCCAATAATACTAGCTATTGCTTACAGAGATGTACACAGGATCATCCTAGCCCACAGACAACCTCACAGCATTAAACCATAACTTTTATATTTCACGAAAGCGTGGAGGAGGAAAGTATTCATAAAGATATAGGAAAAACAGTGCAATATACAAACTCTCAGGCATCTTAGGAAGAGCTTTAATGAATGCTTGCCTGAGGTAGCTTCTTATCATCATCTGAAAGCATATCAATTGCACTCGTAAAGATTGTGTCCACAATATCTTTCTCATCGTCGCTGTTTAAATCCATCTTAGACATCTGTGAAACAAAAAGAGGCATTACAATTACGTTTTAGACAGTACGAGCCACGATAAGCAGACAATGAACTTCAGGTTTTACAATACACATAAACCAAGACACCGCAAGGTGCAGGTTAGCACACTAGAGGAATCAATAAAACAATTATTGAACTGTCTATACAAATAAACTGTACTCAAAAATAAAATGAAAAGAACCGCTGGTCCAATGTAACAACATACTGTTAAGATTGAGAACGAAGTAACTCTTTTTAATTCACTAGCGGAAACAGTATATTACAGACAAGTTTTAAAAGTGAGGATTTCTCTTGCGACCCAGCTCTTACAACCGCTTTCAAGATACTCCAGAGTACTCACCTAAATTGCTAGCACCTTTATTTATCCTCTGCAAGACTAAACAACTCTAGCAAGAAGGTTCTGCTGAAGCAAAAACCCTTACTCGAAAGAGTTTGCTAGTTTCTGAATCGATTAAACACACATGAACACATACAATAACCAATATAGGTACCACGTCTACACATAAGACTCCTGGACCTTATCACAGTAACTCCAACCCAGATCATTTTTAAGGGAAATAAGACTGATCCCATGCACAATAAAAATAAGAAGAAAAAAAAACGAAGGTTTTGGGACAAATTTTCTTATTTCAGCAGAAACAAATTCAGACTCCTGTTTGGCTATAGATACAAACAAAAGAACATCCGCCAAATGAGATGACCAAGGAAGGACTTCATAACCAACTAAATTTGCTCTCCTTTTCACATATAGAAATTGTTGGTAACTTCTACATTCACTTGCGCCAGACAAACGGAAGAGGAGGAAACTAACCTGCATAGCAAGCGCCTCGCATTCCTTTTTGCTGAAACTGAACAAAATCACGGGATCATATTGCCGCTGAATTATCATTTTCACCAATTTGAAGATATCACTTTCTTCACCAAGTTTTCCAACAACTAATCCCTTTTGAGATTTTCCATTCTCTTTTTTCTTGTCAGCATCACTAGCAGGAACCAACGCGTTAAGAGATTTCTGGAAGCTATCCTCGTGAAATTTAGCCTTTTCATCCACAACCAAGTAAAGCCCATTACCTCCAGCAGGAAAGACATAATGCTGAAGCGGAGTTGGCCGATAATCAGTATAAACAATGTGGCATGGTTGTTTGTGAACCTGCAAGACCAACCCTAAAATCAAATCTCCAGAGCAACCAAACCAAATAAAATTTCAATTTCTTTTCATTTGAACAGGCTGTGTATTATGTCAAGTCACAGAAACACCACCATTAATATTACAGTTAACACTGCATTCCGCCAAGACAAGTTTGTGAAATAAGAATGACAAGTTGATATGAGAATGTAGATAAAAACGGTATATAACGTATCAATCCATTCACACAAGACTACAAGAGAGGTAGAAGGGTTAGCAAGAGCGAACACCTTTGCAACCCAATCAGCAAACTCCTTGGCATTGGGCACAGTTGCAGAAAGAAACACAAAACGAGAATTCTTTGGAGCCATTACAATACTTTCTTCCCAAACCACACCTCTTTCGCTATCACGCATGTAATGCACCTCGTCAAAAATAATCCAGGCAACCTCCCGCATAATCTCTGATCCTTTATACTGCATGCTACGCAAGATCTCTGTGGTCATGACCTGGAACAATAAAACAGATAACTAAGAACAAATAGCAAGTAAAGAAATTTCTAAGACGGCGTCGAAACACATATGTAAATACACTTACCAGGCAAGAGGCATTAGGATCAATTGTCACATCCCCAGTCATCAAACCAACGTCAGAAAACTCTTCTTTGAAATCTCTGTACTTTTGATTGCTGAGTGCCTTTATAGGAGACGTATAAACAACTCTCTGCTTTTCCCTCAAAGACATAGCAATGGCATACGATGCCACAACTGTTTTACCAGCAGATGTATGTGCTGAAACCTGAACATTAACCATACACTTCAGTTTATTTTCCCTTCTATTTTCAACTGAATTACACTATAGACAACGCCGAGATCATAATTTCTGATTCTACAATAGACAATCACTGTATATTTCACAGCTTGAATCAATCAAGTGACAGAAACCAAAGAAGTAACAGCGTTTACACAAGACTACAAATTCAGTAAAAGAGTGCGACTGATTGAGTAACCAAATCAATCACACAAGACTACAAATACAGTAACCAAAATCAAACTTGATGAGAATCATTGGAAGTGAAAAAAATCCAATCTTTCGAAACCTAAGATATCTATACACGGTTTTACAACATAATGACCGGAAAAGCTTGAAGCTTTGAAATCGATTTTCCAGCTTACCATTACTGATTCGCCATTATCGAGACACTTGATAGCTTCGGACTGAAAAGAGTCTAGTGTAAAAGGGAATTCTTTGGCCGGTGGTTTGTTATCTCCTTGAGCGGAGGGAGCAAGAGGAACGTAATTTTCAGGGAAAGAGACATCGTGAACGCAACCCACGAGCTCTTCGTTGATGATCTGAGTGGAATCTTCCTCTTTATGAACCTTCTGAGGCGGAGCAAAATCAGAAGAATCATCCTGCGATTTTCTCTTCACTGAGCCCATGATTAATGGGTCTGTATAGTTTTTGTCTCCGGCGAGTGCTATTGGTCTGGTTCCAAAGGAAGATAGAAACGCCGTCGAGGACTTAGCGGCGAACAACGGTGAGTATTGAGATTAGAAGGTGTAATAAGAAAGTGGCGATAAGGGTATTTTTGGAAATGCGAGATAACTTCTTTTCTCCAGTCGTCAAAACCCTAACTCATATGGACTTCAAGGTTTATCGAATGAATCAACTTCAAGGTTTGTGTTATCTCACACGTGGACAAAACGCTAACGCGATTTCAGTCGCCATTGCTATTTCAAACACAATCGCTAATACACATATGCAAATCGCATTCCCACATTTCACCAAAAAAAACATCCTCCTCGATGTGTGATAAATGGGCCATGATTGTTAGTTGAATGGGCTTTTAGACTTGGCCCTCAAGCTATCATGTATTTGTTGAGCAGAACAGAAAAGTTAAAAAGGAAACTTTGTGGTCGATGATCTCGTACAATTAAGGAAATCAACGGTCATATTTTTATCTCCCCAACCCAAAATCAAACGTTAATCCTTTTTCTTACTATTTCCTTTTTCCGAAACCCAATTCCATCTAAAAACCCAACTCTGTTACTTCCTCTCACTAGTTCTTCAGTATCTCTTCTCTGTGTTGTTCTTTTTCTCAAAAGCGATGGCTTTTTCGGAGGATTTTCCGCCAGAAATCAGGAAAGATGTGAAGAGAAGAAGCAGAAAAAGACGAATGGCAAAAAAGAAAGACCTTGAAGAGCTAATTAGCGTCGCTACAAGAGCCGCTCATGTTGCAAGAGACAAAGGATTCTACATCGCCTCTCCTGAAGCCATACAATGCGTTGAAGTTCTCAGAATCATTCGAAGCTTGCCTCTTACTCCTCGTCTTATTACCAAAACTGACGCCTTTCGCGCTCTTCAGTTCCTCGCCAAGAATGGTAACCCTAAAATCCGGTCTGAGTCGAAATCCGTTGTAAATCACTGGAAGCGCATTTTTGCAAACGAAATCAATTACAGTTGAGGAGATTCTAAAAGGGTTTTGCTTGGACAACGTGATGAAGATTTCAACATCGATTGGATAGTATAAAGTATAGGGTTCTGAAAAGATTTAACAAATTTGTAACGAATTTCGTATGAATCGCAAAGTATTAGGTCTTTTTCATGTTGTTTAGTTCGAAGTTTGCCATGTTTGAGTCAACAATTGTACAAGAACCAAATTCATCGTTACTGAAAAGTCTAAATCAAAGTTGACTGATTGATGGCATAGAATTTGCTAATAATGCTTTGAATTGAGAGAATAATGGAATAAATAGAGATGATTATTTTAACATGGGTTTCAAAACATAAAGATAAGTTTTTGTCTCTCGTGCCTCAGCTTGGATGTTTTGTGTGACAATTTTCTTCAAATTGCTCGGATAACACATCAGCTATGTTTCTTTGTTTATGAAATGTTTTAGGTTTATATGTCTAGGTAATAATTAGAGGATGTGCTACTCTATCAATAGGAAGGTATAAAATTATGCTCAATTATTGTTGCAGAGCTTCTCAATGTCACCCCACGACTATAAAAAAAACATACATGAATTGCATTAATAAAGATTACAGTGAGTCAAATAAATTATAGACACAACATAAAGACGAACCAGTATCTTATTATAACAATGGCTGGCAGCTGGCTGGCTGCCCAAGATATTATGGGATAAGAAAAATGAGAAAAACCAGAAGGTCCAGAACCAACAAATGTATTATGGTAGTTAATTACTACTCGAACACAAGCCAAAAGGCTTATTGAGAACCAAAACACATCAAGATAACAGCCAAAGAGATTATTATGCTTTAAGAATATATACTCTCAAGTCTCAACCCAATAAAGACGATATTTACTTCAGAGGTAATTAAACTGAGAACACCAAGAGATAATAGCAGACCAGTCCACAGAACGCTGGTAGTTAATCTCAACAAGAGGAATGTGTCAGACTTTGTAGTAATCTTCTCCTCCTCTGGACAATTTCTCCTTCCATTCTCTCTTACTTTCCATTAAGAGAATGTACAATTCTTTTAAGAAAATGATGAATCGCAGCCCATCAGGAAGCTCCTTTAACTTCTTACAGTTAGTAATCTCCAGAGTAAGGGGCATGGAGCCTTCTTCTACTATCCACTCTTCCCACTCATTTAATGCAAATAACCATAGCTTTTGCAATTGAGTAAAACTCCCGCCAGAGCAAACCATTTTCCTCCTACAATAAGATTGACACTTTAAATCAACCTCTTTCAAGTGCAGCAGCTTCCCTAGGATCGGCATCGGATCCTCTTTCAGACAACAATTTTGTAGAGTTATGGTTGTAAGGTGAGAAGGCAAGTGTTGCACATCAAGTAACCTTGGCATATATAAACGCCACTTTTGTTCTCTTAGATTAAAGCAGCCGAAAAAAAAATCTTCCTACATCATTAATGGGAACATACCCATTAGAATAATCTATAGTAAGATTTTTCAAGTGGTTCAATTCACTTAGAGATGAAGACAGAATTTCCATACTACAACCTTCACTGCTGTTATAGATAGAGAGGTCTCTGGTCGAGCCATACCTTGGAGATCCGTCACACTCCCATGTTGTGGTGAGAATTTCTCCAACGTTTCCAGGTTGACTAGATTACCCAGTTTCAACTTTGTCTTATCATGTATACACGAAGGCAATGGCAAAGCAAGGAATGTCAATTCTCGCATCTCCTCAAAGACATTGGGCACATAAACTGGAGATGACGCAGTTACATTTAAATTCAAATAGAGCAGCAGTTTCAGATTCCACGTAGAAGAAGGTAAATGAGATACATGTGCCTCATATAAACTCAGATATCTCAAGTGGATGAGGTTCCCAATGCTAGACGGTAACTTCGTGTCTCCAACCCCAAACCTCACACCAGAGAGATCTAAAACCCTCATCAATTGTCGCTGGCTAGACTGTAGCCAACCAATGCTTAAAGTTATGCTTATCAGAGCTTCATTCTTGTTTGTGATAAACATGAGAGATCTAAGTTTTGGATTCTTCATCTCCCCCATTGGACGAAATAATTCAGCATCAGGCCGATATATGGCGAGCCTGCGAGACTTAGCTTCTGCAGTTGATGTGTCGTGAACAATTTGTAGGAAATTCTCTTCTTCAGCTTTAAGTAGACAAACTTCTCTCATCATGTCATGCAACTGGCATGTTTCAAATCTTGAAGTATGTGCATCTCTTTCAGAAATAACCATGTTTCTCTTCACCATTTCTTCTATGTATCCATCTGCAATATCTCGAATGCTCGCTCCATTGTAATACATACGCTTCGGTATTTCTTCTGCCGCCCAGTAATAGGACAATTTATCGACATCTATTGCATGATCTTCTGAAAAATGAGTCAGGTAGAGGAAGCAGTGCTTCAAATAAATAGGCAGCTCTTCAAAGCTCAGATGCAAAACATGGTAAACAGAACTGATATTTCTGCCGTTGAAGCTATTCCCTCCAACAAGAAAAGCTCCAATATTATCATGTACCCTTTTCCACTCTTGCAATGTGTATTGCGATGCTAACAACCCTCCTAACACCTTAATAGCCAACGGTAGACTTCCACAATGTTTGATCATCTGCTTACCCGTCTCTTCCATTTCTTTGTTGACCTTATATTCTACACAGAATCATCAAGTATATTATCATCCATCAAGATATTTAAGATTATTCTTGTGTGGAAAAAAAAACCTCATAAGTGGTTCTGGAAAGCTTAGGTGTCGTATCTTTTCTAAAAATGCTATCATTCGAAACAGCGTCCAACTTTCTTCAGGGGTTAGGCTTGCTGGTTTAAAAATGATACATGTTGGATCTGCATGTAATGCCACTCCCTTATTGCGAGAAGTAAGAACTACCTTCCAACCTGAAATACAAAACATAGCTTTTTGTGACCAATTCTTCGTGTGCATTTTTGTGATCAAATCGTTAAATCTAAACATGGACTGCTCTAATGTATGCAATAAAAGGAGGTTCACCTTTTTTGGGTGGAAACACAGGTTTTACTCTGTCCCAATAATTTCCACATATCATCGAGGATAATTAAAGAATTTCTTGTTTCCAACAACAGAAAGAGATTATCTTGGAGCTGGTCTTCAGTCATGTTTGACACTTTATCCTCATCAAATTCTGAACCAAGCCTTTGCAAGATCGTTCCCCACACATATTTCCGTGTAAACTGTTGTGAAACACACACCCACACAACTCCGTCAAAATGTTTTCTTACCATCTCGTGATTAAACACTTGTCGAGCCAGAGTAGTTTTACCAATACCACCCATCCCACATATAGAAACCACTTGAATGATCTCTTCCTCTACCAAATAGCCAACCAGTTTCTTCACGTTTTCCTCCAAACCCACGAAATTGCTTTCGTTGTTGCTGGAGAAAGTGTGTCTCATCTCCCTTTGTCTTTCTTGTAGAGGATGTGAAAACTCGCCCCCTTCGACAATCATCTGCTGCACCCCAAAACTCTGTATGTCGTCGCGGATCACTTTGGAGATCCTCTTACTTATGCCTTTCAATTCTGAAGCAATTTCCCTGCGGTCAACTGTAATGAAAGAAAGTCTTCTCATGTGCTTCTTGATGCCGCTTGTTTTTCTGACCTCTTCCTTGAGAATAAATGTTTCCACTATATCCTCTGCATCAAAAACAATTTCTTTGATCTCTTCCACACAGTTCTTCACCAACGAACTTGCATCTTTCTTAGCATCTGCATTTTTCAAGGACTTAAGCAAGTTTAGATCACTTTTGAGTTCAGTGAGTTGCTTATCTAGTTCCTTAAATCGATCTGTTTTTCGGACAAGGAGGCTCCAAAGCTTCTCGACTCCAAAAGACAAAAGTGTCTCAGCCATAAGTCTCCTCCTAAACCAAGAAATGAAAATAGTAGTTAATAATCACTAGAGGAGGAGGGTCCATGAGTTAATAATGTGAAAGAATATTGTCCACATCGGAAGTTGGAAAGAAAACTAAAACAGAAAACGAAAAAGATGAACAGAAAACGAAAAAAGAGCAAAAAACAGAAGATTGAAGCATTATCTTGCAGAGAAAACTAAAACAGAAAACGAAAAAGATGAACAAAATCACCTCTCTTGAAATCGCTTTTCGTCCAACCGATTTGTAGGGAAAAAAAAGATTCGATGAATTTTGAACGTGTTTGGTTTGAACTCTGTCCGGTAAATATCTACTCAAAGAGTTGCCTCCAAGTCAACATTATACGACAACCAGCTGTAGCGAACATGATGCGTGATAAGATTTGTACAACACTCATGTGACCAATTACACAAAAATTGCATGAAAGTGGTATAAAGGGTGATGGTGCAATTAAATGTTGCATACACAATTTTTAGCAATTAAAATATGCATCGTGGTTGTACAAACTACAAAGTTTTAACTTTTAATGAGTGTTTTTAATTTATCAATAAAGCAAACTCGAAATATGCATGAGCTTGATAAGGTATTACGGATGGGTAAGAGTGGGTTGTTTAAACCTAAATCGTTTATCCAAAGGATGCATCATTAGAGTGAGAATATCAACACAAGCTGTGTTTTTGTGCTGATCCGACTGAGTAAAGGGACCATATTTTCTTCTCTTGTTCTTTCACGACACAAGTATGGGAAATGTTAGTTGAGAGATTGCTTATGGACATGTGAGTGACTAGGAAAGGATAAAGGCGCTGCTTATCGAACCATCTTGAGATCATACGATCGACATTTCCTTGTAAGTTACTTTTCAAATATCGGTGCACACAATTTGGAGACAAAGAAACAGTAGACGTCATGAAGATTCTCGGCTCGTCAAGATCATGATCGATTGATTGACGAGAACATTAGAAATCAACTTTGTTTGATTAGTGAAAGTTGAGATAATAGATACGAAGATGGCTTGTGAGTTTGGTTCCAAGAAGATAGGAATTAAAAAGACTTTCTCTTTACTTAAACTTCCAAAAAAAATGGAAAAATTGTAAAAACAGTTTGTTTTT